AAATGCAAAGCATCGACAACCCAGAAAGATGGGAACATCATCATGATTCCAAGTGAGACTACAGAACGAGCACACGAAATCCACAGAAACAACCATCACAAATTAGCCATAGATGTGCAGCTTTCCAGACAATGCTTCTTATGAGAGATGGGGGGATGTTGGGAGAAGGGGGATGGTGAGGGCAAGGACAGGGACATTCCATCATCTGGATTATTTTTTCGAAGACACCGGAGGGGAGAGAAGGAAAAAGAACTGCATCTCCCGGGGGACCAATTACCACACGAGGACGCAGGAGGTTAGGCGTATTGCCATTTGGGAGAAGGAGGGATAGAGACAGGGGCGTACCATCATCCGGGTTATGGTTTAGCTAACGCCTGAGAGGAAATAGGAGAAAAGACAGAGGAAAAGAAAAGAACTCCATCACTCGGAGGACCAATTTCCACACGAGGGGGAGGGGGGTAGGCGCCTCCCCTTAAGCGCTTTTCGCTATCCGCGCCTTGGATAGCTCATCAGAGGGTAAGAGTACCGTATGTCTCTTCTCTGGAGAGGAGGGGGGGAAGAGAGAAGAGAGAGACAAACAATAAAACAATGAGATGTGGGGGACGGAAGGAGATAGCGGGGTGGGCAGCAAGAGGAGAAGATGAGATTTGGGTGAGGTGGCAGGTGGATGGGGTTAAATAATTGTGGGGATAATTACGGGGGGGGGGTTTGGTCATGGGCGCATTCATCAACATTTTATCGGAAGAGATGGGGGGCGGGTGAGGGGAGGGTGTTTGGGTAGGGTTAAGTGGGTGGGTGAGAAGGCTTACCACGTGAGCATTGATGTCTTCATCGGTGAAGAGCTCGTTTGCGGCCGTCGCCATAGTTAGCAGGTGTGATAGAGCTAGTGTGACTGCTTGGCGAGGGGAGAGGTTCTTCCGTTCTTGTGGCCGTAGGGAGGTCTTGTACAGAACGACGTTTCCCTGCCGGCGTGTAGGCGGATGGAGGAGGAAGGAGGAGGCTGAAACTGGGCTAAGCGTGCGCAATCATGCGTGCTATGGAGGTTGCGTGTTCCAAAACAGGCGGCGTGCGTCCGGTGTGCCGAGGCTCGGGTAGGGCTGCGCATTGAGCAACCGAAAGATGAGGCAGAGTGGTTCATGCGAGAGTGATATAGTGAAGAGTAGCTTGTGTATTAGGTGGCGTGCAGCGGGGGGTAATTGGTGAGATATCGCGGGTGGGGGGGAGGAGGAGGAGTGTGTGAGTAGTTCAGCCATGCTTCGCCGGTGATCGTGGTTTTGGGAGTTTGTTTAGTGTTGAGGGGTGTTTTGTTGTGTCCCCCTTTTTTTTGGGGGGGAGGGGGAAGTCAGTTTTAACTTTAGCGAGGTGGCGCCGTGTGTTCAGTCTTCGTTTTTGTCACCGACTTTGAATGGATGATCCATTTGTGATCGGTTCGCTTGTGCGGCCATGCGAGTCTGGGAGTCGGCTAAACTCTCGTGTGCGCGCTTCATAATCGGCGCCATGTGGGCAATTCAGTCGTCAAGCGGAGGGCAACGAGTGTCTGGGCGCAACCGCGATGAACGTAGGAAATCCGCAGGTACGCGAGGGTGGTAGCCGAGGTCGCAATAGAATGGCGACATCCCCGTGGTTGGCGAAACAGCGTGGTTGTACGCAATCTCCGCGTGGGCTAAGTGTAAGTCCCACTGCTGGTCATCCCTAACAAACTTTCGAAGGATATTACCGAGAGTTTTGTTGGTGACCTCAGTCTGACCATCCGTCTGAGGGTGGTAAGACGATGAGAAGCGGAGATGGGATCCGTACACCTCGTGTAGGCGTCGCCAGAATGTGCTGGTAAAGCGCGGGTCATGGTCGGAGATGATGCTCTGAGGTAAGCCGTGATCTCTCACGACTTGGTCGAAGACGATGTCGGCGACCTCACGAGCGCTAATGTGATAGCAACACGGAACAAAACGTGCACGCTTCGTGAAGCGATCGACGACGACCAAGATAGCATCATGACCGCGCTGAGTGGGTGGGCGGAGGGGACCAATGAAATCCATCGAGATAGACYGCCAACGACCTTCAGGTATGGGTAGGGGCTGAAGTAACCCATACGGAAGGTGGTTCGCACTGTTCACCTCCTGGCAGGTAGGACACTCCTGGATGTAGGCTTTGACAAAGTCCTTGGACTTCGGCTAGACGTATAGGCAGCAAACACGAGCCAACGTCTTGTGGAAACCCATATGACCGGCTGCTGCCTGGTCATGGAACTCTGCTACAGCCTGGATGCGGAGCTGTCCGGTGGAAGGAACGCAGATACGTGGTTCTAGCTGACCAGATCTGCCATGCCAGTACATGAGGCCGTTCTCCCCAAGGGAGTAGGAAGGAACGGTCTTGCCACTCCGCAGTGTCGCGTGGATGACGCGATCAGGACGGCGGGACAAGGCATCGGCGGCGCGGTTCGTTTCACCCTTGATGGGCTCAGTGGTGAAACCGAACTCGGATAAGTCACGCCACCAGCGTGCCTGTCGAGGGAAAAGCTTAGGCTTCGTGAGGAAAGCCTGGACAACTGAGTTGTCCGTGCGTACCGTGAAGGGCGCCCCGTGCAGATAATGACGCCAATGCCGGGTAGCATAAACTACTGCAAGAAACTCACGTTCATCGGCAGTGTAGTTTATCTCGGCAGGTAGTAGCTGACGGGAGTAGAAAGCGATCGGGCAATCCCCAGCACGAGCCTCGACCGTCCCATCCTCCGCGATGGTCGGGGAGT